ACCACCACCACCACCACCACCACCACCACCACCACCACCACCACCACTACTATTACTTCTATTTCTACTACTACTACTATTACTACACTACCACTATTACTGTTACTTCTGTTACTACTATTACTTCTACTACTACTACAGCTAACATTTATGTAGCACTTTTAAACTCAAGATGAGACATGGGGGTATATCCTTCATGAATACATGATTGAAAGTCAACATGTCACTTGTTCCCAGTCCAGTTTGGCTAGAATGCAGAATGGATGAGGGGGAGCAATGTGACAGAAGCCTGGAAAGGGAGTCAGGTTATGATGACCCTTGAATGAAATGCCACGCTGAGGAGTGTGAAGAGCTATGATGAGGAATTCTGATGCATGGAGGAAGGAGGAGTCTTCAGGGAGAGATCTTCCATGTGGGGAGAGACCCTAATGAATCACCCTGTGATGGGGAGACAGAGTTTCCCCTCCCCCTCCCAGATATCTAAAGGCTACTCCCAAGGAGGGGAGCTGGCATGGGAGAGGGGATGGAGTGGGTCTGATCCAGGCCACCAAGGAAAGCCTTAGGATTCTGCCTTAATTGCTGAGTAGAGACAACATTCTTCTTTCTTATGGATAGGGCATAGAGTTTAGTACTCTTTTAGTACTCTCCAGTCAAGGACAGTGATACCAGGGAGGGATGGACCATGCTTCCAGACCTCCCAACCACCTAGAAGAGGCAGAGGTAGTGGAGAAAGACATGTTGATAGGACCCTGAACCCTAGGATTCAAGAAGCTGCCCAAGTGGCTATAGACCAGTAGCAGGATTGTCAGAGGGTGGTGGCTGGGCTTAGGTGAAGGAGCAGAAGTTATCCGCCGTGGATACAGAGAGCTGTGGCATGGGGCTCGCAAAGGACTACAAGGTATGAGAGGACCACTGCAGGATGGAAGTGTGTTCCCTGAGGCAAAAGACTGCCTTAGTTATGGATAATAGGAGCATAGATAGAGAGCTGGAAGGCCTTCAGAAGCCATCTTCCAGGCCCCTCATTTTACAGATGCAGAGAACTGAGGTCTAGGAAGGTTAAATAAGAATTCACATTTTATCTTACATATAGTAGGAAGCTCTTGGGTTTTTTGAACAAGAAATTGACATGGTTAGACTTGTGCCTTAGTAAGGTTATTGGGGGGGGGGACAATGAGAGGAAGGAATAGATAGTAACAGTAATGCCCTCTCTTCCCCAAAAAGAAGGAAGAGAATGTTAATGAAACATTTATAATCCACAGAAGAAAGCAGATAGAAGTTAAAAAAGAGACATATAAGCAGGACAATATTGGAATAACTGTTGTACTTACCACATTACATTATTATATAAATTATGTATATTATATAATATATTATTATGTAAAAGTGATCTGCACAAAATTTAGTTTCATGATTTCATAATGCTATTCTTTTTCTCTGTTGTATATGGGGATAGTCATGTTTGTTGATGTTTGACAAATTCATAATAAAAAAAAGAAAATTGAGGTCTTTTTTTAAAGAATATTTTAGCAACTGGTTGGAATACGGTTTAGAGAGAGGAAGCCCTGGATACAAAAGGACTATTTTTTAAAAATAAGTTTTTGTCTTTTTTTTACATCACTGTAGTTTCCCCTAGTATGTTTCTCTCTTCCTATGACAGAACCATTCCATATAAGAAAGAGTATTTTTTAAGACCAAAAAAAAAGAGGAACAAATCATCAGCATAACTGATTAATACATTGGAAAAATCTGAAAACATGTGTAATGGGAAACATTTGTGGATACGCTACCTCTGTCAAAGGGTGGGGTGGGAACATCTCCAATCTGTTTTTCTTTTTGAGCATGCTTGTTCTTTATAATTTTTGTGATATTTACTTTTGATTTTTGTGTGTGGGGATGTATATGATTCTTTCCATTTACATTGTTGTTGTCATTGTGTGTGTTTTTTTCTTGGTTCTGCTTACTTCACTCTGCATAAATTCATGTAGTTCTTCCCATACTTCTCTGGATTAATCACATTTATCATTTCTTACAGCCCAATAGTATTCCATCCCATTCAGGTACCACAATGTGTTTAGCCATTCCTTAATTGATGGGCATCTACTTTGTTTCCAATTCTTTTGCTATCATAAAAAGTAAGTAGGGAGACAATTAAGGGAACTCTTAAAACAGTCCAAGTAAATCTGAATGGGGGTGAGGGGTAGGGAGATGGTGGTCTGAATGGAGAGGGAAGATGAATGGGAAAGGTGTGAAAGTAGAATCAATAAGACTTGGCAAGTGATTGGACAGGGGAATGAAGAAGAGGGAAAAGTCAAGAATCATGGTCAAGAATCAAGAGTCAAGACATACAGCTTTCAAGCCTGAGTGCCTTCAAGGATGGTGATGCCATCAGCAGCATAGAGATGTTGAAGGGGGGACAAATTTAGGGGAGCAAACTAACAAGCTCAGTGCTTCATGAGTTGAGTTGGAGGTGCTGATGGCACATCCCTGTGGAAATGTTCACTAGGGATTTGAAAGTATAGGATTGGCATTCAGGGAGAGGTTAAAACTGAATCTATAGAGCTAGGAGTCACCTGTATAGAGGGGATCATTGAATCCATGAGAGGTAGGCAACAGAGCAGAAAGAGAGATAAGAGGGCTAAGAACAGCAGCCTTGAGCATGCTTTAGGAGTGCAGGGAATGAGGGGGAGAAGGTAAAACCAATGAGAGATTTTGAATGCCAGGTTAGAGAACCAAGAGAGTACATTCAGTAAGGGGAGCATCTCCAGGAGGAACAAGAGATTGGCAGTGTCAAATGTGGCAGAAAGATGGAAGGAGGATGTGGACTAAGAAAAAACCCATCAGCTTTTACAGTGAAGTTGTCATCAATTTAGGGACCAACAAGCATTTATTAAGTGTTTACTATGTGCCAGGCACAGTGCTTAGCCCTGGGAATATAAAGACAAGGAGAAAGAAAGAATTCCTGCCCTCAAGGAGTTTACCTTCTGATGGGGAAGTCAACACATAGAACTGAAAAGCTAAGCGGGGGAGGGTCAGGGAGAGGAGGTACCCACTTGAAAACATGGTAAAGAAAGTTCAGATGTCAGAAGCAGAGCCTGGAGAAGAATGAAAACATGGTTGGCCTGGTCATCCTCCTTAAAATGGAGGTTCTGATAGAAACCAACAACCACTCAAGCAAAGAGGCTTCAGGGGACCTTAGAGAGAGCAGCTTTAGTAGGATTATAAGGTAGGATACCAGACTTCAAGCAGTTTAAAAATGAATAGGTGGTAAGGAACTGGAGATGGTCAAGGATGATTATTCTTTATGGGAGTTTAGTAGTAAAAGGGAGGAGGTATATAGGATGAAAACTTGAGGGGATAATAGAGTCAAGAGAATGTAGTTTTTTTTTAAAAAGATGAGGGAGACCTGGGATCATCTATAGAGAGTGCATAAGGATCCACTAAATAGGGAGAGAATGAACATGAGAGAGATGGAGAATGATTAATAGGGCAAAGAGATGGGAAGGGATGGGATCAGGGGTACAAAGGAGAGGGTCTAATCTGGGCAAGGAGAAGGGCCATTTCATCCTCTGAGATTGGAGCAAAGGAGAAGAGGATAGATGAATATGTAAAAAAGTGTGGAGAAGTGGAGATGAGGGAGCTCAGAATGGATGGTCTCAATCTCAGCCAAGTAGGATATGAGAAATGTGGAGGAATGTGGGGAGTGGGTAGGAGATGGGTGTTTGTGTGCATTTGGATGGTTGGTAGCAGAGTCAACAGAGTACTAGAGATACCGTTTCAACAAGTGGTGGGATCATAGGGCAGTCTATGGATCTGGGTGTACTAGGTCAAAGATAGGGCCAGGGAGAGAAGATTCATAGTTAATCCTATTGCAAAGAGAGACTGACTTTTACCCCATTTTTAGCCCAGGATGAGGCAACTGTAGTGTTGTTGGAAAAGAACTGGTTTGAGAGTCAGGAGAAATCTACCTTAAAATCCTTGCTCCAAACCTTAGCTGTGTGACCATTGGCAAGTCAATTATAACTTCCCCAACCTCAGTTTCCTCATCTATAAAATGGAGATAATGATATTCAAACTACCTACCTTCCAAGGTTGTCATGAGGAAAACATTTTGTGAGCTGCAAAATACTATGGAGATTTGAGCCATAGTTCTTTTTAGGGAGCAGGTGGAGAATGCTAATGGTGTGGAATGAGTAGGCTTTATAAGGTCATAGATTCAGAGCTGGAAGGGAACTTATGAGGCCACAGAGCACTGTCTTCTCAATTTCCAGATGCGAAAATTGAGGCACAGACAGCAAGTTTCTAAGGCAAGATTTGAACTCTGGTCTTCCTATCACCAAGTTCAATGCCTTGTGCACTAAGCTATATTGACTGTTGGTTGGCTAGATCCAGAACTATGACAAAAGGTAAGGAATGAACCTCTGTGGGCATTCTTAAACCAATAGGTGGTACAGTCCAGGGGTGGGGAACCTCTCAGAGCATAAGACTAGGAATCAGAAAGACCTAAGTTCAGACTATGCCTCAGACACTTACTAGCTTTGTGATCCTAAGCAAGTCATTTAACCTCTGTTTGCCTCAGTTTCCTCATCTATAAAATAGAGATTATAATAGCACCTACCTCAAAGGGTTATTATAACAGAGCAAATGAGTTAACATAGGTAAAATGCTTTGTGAACCTTAAAGTGCTTTATACATTCTAACTACTATTATTCTTAAAGGTCAGTTGCTCAGAGTTGGCTCAGCAGCAGTTTATTTGAAAAAGATATGAGAGCAGAACTGATCAAGAAACTTCAGATAAGCCAACAGCAGGACGAGGCTTCTACAAAAAGTTAATGTAACCTTGGGCCATGTGGGCTATCTGGTGTTCACCTAAAGGGATGGATTCACCTTATTTGGACCTGCCTATGTCTGTGTAGCATCATATTCTGTTTGGGGTGCCACATTTGGCCACAGGGTGACAAGCTGAAGTGTGTGCAGAAAGCAAGTGGCATCATGAAGGGTCAAGAAATCATATATGTTACACCAGGAACAGTGGAGGGTACTAGGTTATTGAACCTAGAAAGAGAAGACCTAAGGAAGCCATTATCACAGTCTTCATGGAATCAAGATTTAAAGCTAGATGAGATCTTAGATATCAACTGATCCAAGAGTTCTTCACCTTGTTTGTGTCATGGACTCCTTTGACTATGTGGTAAAGCCTATGGACTCTTTCCCAGAATAAGGTCTGTAATGGATGGTGAAAATAAAGATGTCATTTCCCCCTCATCCAAGTTTAGGGACCCCCTGCTGGACAGATCGTATTAGAATTCTTCCTTTGATTAGAACTGAAATCTGCCTTCTGGTAAACTCTCTCTCCCGCCCAACTTTCCTCCAAATTAGCAGCCATATACAAGCAGCATTTTGGATGTAGGGAGAGACTTTGTCCACCTTGTCTTTTTCCTCGTGGTCCCTCCAAGCCTGGGGGCAAAGGGGAGAAGCAGGGATGCGAGGCTGAGTAAATGGTTAAGAGAGGGCAACACCTTTGCTCCAGCTCAACTTGTTAACAAAGAAGGGTCCTTGTGCAGAAACAGGAGCCTCCAGCTTCTGGCTGTCAGAAAAGCACCCTTTGTGCTCCCTTGCTCAGTAGAGTGTGACAAAGACTCAGTAAGCCTTCATCACAGCCACTTCCAGTCCTAGTGACTCATTAATGCAACCTCCCCGCCAAAGCCCATGGTTTCCATTGGCACTTTGCCACAATACCTTTTACATAGCTGGTCCCTGCTAATTGCTTGTTGAATTGAATGGAAAGCCAATCTTCTGAGGAGAATCACAACAGATTACATTTTTATAGTGAAATATATACATACACATTTATAATACATATGTGTGTGTCTATATTCGTGTGTGTATCTTTACAAAATTTACAAAATACTTTCCAAACAACAACCTTTGAGGTAGTGCAAGTGTTATTCCCATTTTAAAGATGGGAAATGGAGGGAAACAGGAAATCAGAGAGATGAAATGCTTTATCCCAGATCATAAAACTAGGAAGTGTCACATTAGGACTTGAAAGCAGATTTCCTCACTCCAAGTCCAGTGCAGAAATCTCTCCACAACATCAAGTTTCTTCTCAAATAAAAGAGGGCTTCCTGGTGAGTAGACTTCAGTCTCCAGTTGATATCACCATACTCCTCTCTCTGAGGCTCACGGGGATTATTAGACATAAAAGGAGCATGACTCATGGAGTACCTACCGATTCCTTGGCCCTCACCTTGTCCCTATCAGAAATTTTTACTGTGATCACCAGTCCCCTTTCCTCTACATATCAGTGATCATAAGACTTCAGGGAATTGAACTTTGTCTCTTAGTCTAAATATAGGCTGGCCCCTACATGTGGAGGGTGCTTAATAAATTATTGAATTAAATAGAGGCTACATTCCTAAAATGAGAGGCAGCCATTTGGAAAGAACTCTGAACTCAAGTCAGAAGACCTGGCTACTAGTCTTAGCATTGAAACTCCCTAGCTGTATGACTATGGGTATAATCACTTCTAAGCCTCTTAGAGCCTCAATTTCCTCATCTGTAAATTGGGGACAATTACACTAGCACTATCAACCTCACAATGCCATTGTATGGGAAGTGTTTTATAAGCTTGAAGAGGCTAGAGAAATATGAGCTATTTTCATTATTACATATATAATGGGGTTTTTAGACTAGTAGATCAGGGGAATGCTAAAAACATAACATACTTAAATTTCAGCAATTCACTTGACAGAATTTCATACTACACTTATAGAGAAGATGGAGAGATAGGTGCCTGATGATAGTATAATAACCAGGTGAATTGAAATCTGGTTGAACGACTGGACCCAAAGCCTAGCTGCTTTCAAATGGGATGAAAATCTCCAGTAGAGTGTCCCAGGAATCTATCCTTGATCTTGTGCTGTGTAACATTTTTCATGACATGCTTATCAAATTTGTAGATGAAATAGAGATAATTAGCATGTTAGATGACATTGGATCCAAAGAGATCTTGACCGACTAGAATGGTGGAATGAATTAAACAAGATGAAATTATTAGCAGATAAGTGAAAGTCTAGATTTGAATTCCTAAAAATCAACCTCACAAAAGCTGTTAGCTTTTGAAGTGGCCTTGTCACATCATTAACTCCTACTAAACTTGTGATCCACTAAACACCCCCAGATCTTTCTTACATAAACAACAATAGTTTCATTAGAGGTTTTGGTGGATTGCAAGCTTAACGTAAGTCAATACTGTGATATGGTAACCAAAGACTAAGGCTTAGGAGAAATCCATAGCATCCAAAACAAGGGCAGTAATTGTTCTGCCATCCTCTGTCTTGGTCAAACAATATCTGTCATTCTCTGCTCCGTTCTGGGCACCCCATTTTAGATGTAGTCAACCAGGAGAATATGCTATATGGGGATCGCTTAGAAGAGCTAGGGATTCTTAGCCTAAAGAAGACTTAGGGAGATAGGATAACTGTCTTCAAGTATTTGGAGGACTGTCTTGTGAGAGAAGAATTAAACTAAGGGAAGGCAGAACTAAGAGCAATGTACGTGATTTAGTGTGAGGCAGATTTTGAATTAATATAAGAACTTTTTTTTTTAAACCAATTAGGCCCATTCCAAGAATGGAATGGGCTGGCTGGATGGGTAATAATCTACCCATCAGTGGAAGAATTCTTGTAGAAACTAGAAGACTTGCTATAATGGGGATTCCTATCCCGGTAAGAGGTTGGACTGTATGTCCCATGATCCTCCTTCCATCTCTGAGATTCTATAACTCCCTGACTCAGAGGCAAACAAAAAGGCTAATAGGTAGAGATGTGGTCTGTTACATGGAGGGGACATAAGCCTCAGCTGATCGTGCTCCACTGCTACCAGACCAGGCTGCTTGGTTGACCTGATAGAGCTGAAGGGGTGACTTTAGCCACACAAGGTGTGCTATTAACTCATTCCCTCGTGTGCCAGTGACCTCAGGACTGTTCTCTCCCCTTGCCACGTGAACAAATCTCTTTGGAATTTAACTATCCTCATCTTGCCCTCTTTCCTTCCCTTCTATTCCCCCTCCCTTCCTGTTCCTGAGGACTAGCTGACCCACTTAGCACCTCAGACCCTAGAGAATGAGATCAAAGAGATGTTTCCCTATTAGGTTGTCATACTCAATGGTCCTAATAATAATAATAACAACAACATTTATATGCTTTAAATTTTACAAAGGTCTTTTCCCACAACAATCCTGTGGGCAGGTAGAAAACCTTCTAGTCGGAAACCTTCTAGAGGAAAGATTTTCAGAAGGAATGGAGCAGGAGATGAAGGGTGTGATTGGATGTTTTCAGGTTTGACAGGCATTGTTCATATCTTCATGTGAAATAGGTGGCAGCCCAGTCATCATCATCTCAGGTACACTAGAAGCCTCCATATGCCTCTTGTTGATGCCAGGAATTCCTTTACAGGACATAGATTAGACTAAAATTGAAAATCCTTCTGGGAGATGGAAGCAAAGATTGAAATTCCTCCAGACTAAAATTCAGACGACTAACTCCAGATCCTCTTTTGAGAGTGGGCTTTGGTTGTCACGACTGGAGAGCATTCTGGGATTCTGGGTTTGAACCAGTATTACAGTCTCATTGTTTCCAAAAGATCATGGGGCTAATGTCTGGTAATTCCCTTGTTAATCCCCTATTCCCCTAAGTCTAGGATTTTTCTGGACAACCTTCTGAAGGAAAAGATTGCCTATGACTTTGGTTTCCTGTTTATATGTAGGACACTTTAGGTAGGTTTGCAGGTAACTACTGGCCTGGGGTTAGTTCTAACTCTAAGCAGGCAGGTAAGGTAGAAGAGTGAATGCTTCTATCGGATTTTGCACAGGACCAGCCTGAATCCTTGGTGGGAGGGCAAGTTTTCCCAACTCTGATAGGACAGTTCAGTGTCTCTTGATTAAACTGCCTTCAGTGATTGAAAGATGACCTGCTCTTTATTTTCCAGCTGCTGTCCAGAGAAATGGCCTGTGCACCATCCCCACTGAGATGCAGTTTCTGGCCAGCACAGAGGAGTGAGTCCTTGACTAAATTTGCATTAGGGTCAGGGGTGGCTCTTTTGCACAAGAAATAGTCCTCTAATGAGATGTGATTTAATAGGTACAAGGAAGACTTTTCTTTTGCCCCTGAGGTCTTCCCCTCTCTCACCAGCCAGATGTGGTATCTAAAATTCCACCATAGAATGATGGGATGTCAGAGTTAGAAGGACCTTAGAACATAGTGTTAGAGCTTGATGGGGCTTAGAACATAGAATGTCAGAGATGGTTGGGATGTTAGAGCATAAAATATCAGGGCTGGAAGAGACCTTAGCACATAGAATATCAGAGTTGGAAGGGATCCTAGCACATGGAATATCAGGGTTGAAAAGGATCTTAGCACATAAAATGTTAGAGCTGGAAGGAACCTTAAAGATCGTCTAGTCAAATTCCTTCACTTTGTAGATGGATTAATTGTGGCCCAGAAAGGGGAAATGATTTGTCGAAGAGTATGCAGTGAGTTCATAGCCAAATAGGTCCTAAAGTTAACACAACCTTCCCAGCCCAGGCTGGATAAATTCCCGGGAGATGGATCAATTCAGCAAATATTTCTATAGCTTCTACTTTGCACAAGGCCCTATGCTAGGTTGTATAGATAGGAAGATCAATAAGATCCCAAGTGAGCCCCAAGTTGTCCATAGTTGAGTGAGGAAAAGAGGGCCCTTAAGTAACTGTAATTCAAGACAAAATGGTATAAGTGCCTAGAAGAGGTGTCCCCAAAGTACTGTGAAAATTCCAAAGTAGAAGAGATCACTTCCATTTGGGGGGAATCAGAAAAAACTCAAGGAGGGGAGGGATTCAGATTGAGTCTTGAAGGATGTATGAGATTTCAATAGGCAGGCCAGGCCAGTGGCAGGAGGGTAGGGCATAGGGGGAATAAAGGGAGCAACGGGCATTCCAGGCCATGGATGACAGAGAGGATAAGGGGTTCAGAGAATATGGACTAGTTGTAGCATGAAGATGTGTAGAAGAAATCAGAGAAAGATGAGGCTAGAAAGGTCCAGATTGTGCAGGACCTTGAAAGTTAGGCTTCAGTGTTTTATCTTAACCCATTAAAATGAAAGCACTTTGAGAGGAAAGATATTTTTGTTTCTTGTATTTTTTATCCCCACCTACAGTGCTTGGCATGTAGTAGATGCTTAATAAATATTTGAGGACAGTTACTTGAGAGGAAATTTAGGGTTATGGAAGGTATCTGAGCAGAGGGATGACACGATCAGAGTGGGGTGTTAGGAAGATTAGCTTACTGACTGTGTGCTGGATGATGGGGCAGAGACCGGAGGCAGCGAGACCCTTTGGGAGGTGGTTACAATAGCCCAGGGCTGAGCTGGGATGGGAGTGTAAGTGGTAAGGAGAGGATAAGCACCAGAAATGGTGTGGAGACTAGGCTGCTAGCAGAGTTTACAGTTTCAAAGACACTGCTGCCCTTTCTACTTCTCTAAAAGTGGGAAAGAGTACAGGTTCTCTCTAGGATCTAGGCTCTGATCCCAGTGAAGCCTGAGAGAGGTGCCCCTTAGAATACAAACCTGCTCCAGGCTTGTCCTGCTTCAAGCCTGAGCCTCCCCTTTCCCCAGCTCAGGATTGGCTTTGAGCCTTTCTTCTTTCCTGCCCCTCTCCTTCCCTCCCTCACTCCTTCCCTTCCCTTCCCTTTCCTTCCTTCCTTCCTTCCTTCCTTCCTTCCTTCCTTCCTTCCTTCCTTCCCTCCCTTCCTTCTCAAGGCTTGGAAAGACTTTTCGGGATTCTTATTTGGTGCACAAATTTAGATAGCTCTATGGGTTTCTAAAGAGGTGAAGAGAGCTCTGAGCACCCCAACAGGGCTCTGAACAGCTTCTTGTTTGGCAATGTTTAAAGCAAAGGCCTACCAGAGGATGTTGAGGCCTCACCAGAGATGGCCACTGACACAAAGAAGGAGGAGGAGTACCGAAGAAACATCTGGAAGGGCTTTCTCATCTCCATCCCCTACGCAGCCAGCATTGGAGGCACAGCTACCCTCACTGGCACCGCCCCCAACCTCATCTTGCAGGGCCAGCTGAAGAGGTACAGGGTAGGGACACATGCTTAGTTCTGGAATTTCTTGTCTTTCCCTCCTCCCAGGCCACACTGAGCTTTGGAGAACCTTTATAATAATATCCCAATGCAAAGGGTCAATTAGAGTTGTCCAGGAATATTCTCGACCCTCTCCCTATTATTTTCCACTGAGAATTATGGGACTAGGGGATAAAGGATGTAGGTGAATTCTGTCTATAAAATTTATCCTGCTCAGCCCCAGAGAGAACTGTGGACACATCGGGATGGGTGGTGAGAGCGAAGAAGAAGGTACCTGAAGACAGATTTTGGCTCAGTAGGAAGGAGAACTTCATAATTAGAGCTATCCCAAAATAGAATGAGCTGCTTCAATGAGCAGTGAGCTTCCTATCGGTGGAGGTTTTCAAGCAAAGGCTGGTGATCAAGAGGATTCCTGCTCGAGTTCAGATTGGACTAGATGCCCTCTGAGGCCCTTTTCAGCTCTGAGTTTCTATGATCTTAAGACTTATGTGACTAGACTAGCTGATTGCCCTTTCTCTCCCACTCTGAGCCTCAGTGTCCTCATATGTAGAATGGGGCTAATAATCCACGCTCTGCCTACCTCATAGGGTTGCATGAAGACCAAGTCATAGGATCTCAGAATTTCAGAGCTCAAAGGGACCCCAAAGAACTCTAGTCCAAACTGCACCTGAATAGGAATTCTTTGTACAAAGTCTCCAACAAGTGGTCATCTGGTCAAAAGGAACTCATTGCCTCCCAGGGCATAGTTCCAGTTAGGGGAGTACTTGTTGCTAAGGTGTTTTCTCTGACGTGAAGAAATGAGGTCACAGATATGGATGAAACATCTAAACTGTAGGGTGCTGTATAAGCATTAACAGAATCATGGGATTCAGAACTGGAAAGGAGATCAGAGTGCTTCTAGACCAACCCCACTCCCATTTTACAGATAGGGAAACTGAGACCCCTAGAAACAAAATGACTCCCTTAAAGTTAAATAAGTATTGTCTGAACTAGGATTTGAACCCAGGTCATATTTGGGAGAAATTTTAGTGGCAATCTAGCTTTCCATTTTGCAGATAAGGAAAATGAAGCCTAGAATGAGGAAGATAGTTAATGGATATATTTTTGTCATTATTTACAGCCAAGAGTTTGAGGTCCCTTTCAATTATGCAGGGTTCCCAACCTTTTTTGGTTCCCATCCCCTTTGACTTTCAGTAAATCTTCCCATGCCCCCTATTCAGTATGAAAGAAAATAAATTCTAGCGTTTGCCATGCATGTACACATAAGACATAAGAGATTAATTGATTTCAATAGGGTAATACAGTTATTGATCAAATATTTCTTCTACCCCTTGTCAAGCTTCTTTTTTTTTTAAATTTTATTTATTTTTTTGGAGACAATGGGGTTAAGTGACTTGCTCAGAGTCACACAGCTATTAAGTGCCTGAGGTCTCCATGGCAAACTTCTTATACCCTATGGGAGTTTGTGTACTCACTCAGGCTGGGAATCCTCACAGTACTGTAGGGAATAATATAATAATTAAAATATATTATATTAGAATATTCTTATTAAGAATATATAATAGAATATGATAGTATAATTAAGTAATATATAATAATAGCTAGCATTTTCGTAGCATCTACTAAGCTCTTTACAAATACTCATTTGATTCCTCAACAATCCTGGGAGATAGGTGCTATTATCATCCCCATTTCACAGTTGAGGTAAATGAGGCAGGCAGAGATCAAGTGACTTATCCAGGGTCACACAGCTAGAAAGTGTCTGAGGTTATATTAGGACTCAGATCTTCCTGACTCCAGGCCCTGGGCTCTATACACTTCACCACCAAGGACAGATGAAGGCCCCACCATATAAAATGGGCAATCTAGGCTTCTAGAACAGGCTGGGGAGGAGACAGAACCCTCAGATTTCTGTCAAGAAGACAGCAGGATGTTGGAGGCAGGGTGGGGCATCTTTCTTCACCGATGCCCTCGGGGAACCCCCAGCATCCCTGCTCTGTCCTCCCTTGTGTGCCCTGAGTTGACTGCCTTGACCTCACAGAGCTCTCTCCTCTCTCTCCCTTCCTGCTCCCTCTCTCTGTCCCTCAAGCTTTTTCCCACAGTGTGACGTGGTGAACTTTGGATCCTGGTTTGTATTTGCCTTTCCCCTCATGCTGCTTTTCCTGTTCACCGGCTGGCTCTGGATCTCCTTCTTATACAGCGGCATCAGTATAAGGTATTCATTCCTGGCCAAGGGGTTTTCTTTATTAAACACTGCTTGGAAAAGTGCTGAGAGCACTGGCTCTGGAGACAGAGGCCTCAGATTCTAATCCCACCTATGCTGCTGACCTATGTTGGGCAAGTCCCTTATCCTCTGTGGGGAGGCCCCAGTTTCTTCATCTTTAAAGTAAGAGGGTTGCACTATAAGACCTTTGAGCTCATATCTAGCCCTCAAGTGATGCTCCTTTGATCCCGAGTTCAAATCCTTCCTCAGACATTTATGTACACAGTTGTGTAACAGTGGGCAAGTCACATGATCTCTGTGAGCCTCAATTTCCTCATCTCTAAAATGGGTAAAATAATAGCACCTACCTCTCAGGGTTGAATGAAGTAACACATAAAGTGCTTATGTATAATGCTTGAAGCATTATATGAATGCTATTATTCTACCATCAGACACCCTCTCTAATAGATTGGGAGGCAGGAGGGTATATGGTCAAAAGAACACAAGCCTGAGTGTCATAAGGCCTGGGTTCAAACCCTGGTTCTGTTATTTCCTAATTATGCATTCCTGGGCAAGTCACTTCTCTCTCTAATCCTCAGGTCCCGGTATGTTAAATGAGGCTACCTATACACTACTTATCTCACTGGGTTGATGAGACAAAAAGAATTTTGTAAATAAGCAACACCAGAAAATACCTGTTATGGGCAGTATGGCATAACAGAAGGAGCCCTGGACTAGACGTCAGGAGACCAGAGTTCCCATCTCATTTCTGCCCCTAACTTACTGTGTGACCCTGGGCAAGTTATGTTACCCTTGATGACAATTTCTTCATGTGTAAAATGAGGTGGTTGAATTTAATGATCTAAAAAGCATTATCAAACTCCATTTATGTTCTAAGGTTCTGGCTAGCTCTGACGTTTTGTGGTTTTAAAATAATTATTAATGTTCTATTATTTTTTTTACATTGTTATCACTTCCCAGTTCTGACATTCTGTGTTCTAAGGTCACTATTCTATAACACCTTATGGACTCAATAGATACCAGATATTCAAGCCAAGGAGATGCCTTTGCTTATGAGAGGCACCCACTGTTCAAGATGAGAAAGTGTGAGATGCCTTCTCCAGTCATGAAAGTCCACACCATGCCAAAGTCTAAAGATGTCTATATACTTGTCTTCAACAGAGTCTTTGCCTTAAGTCAAACTAATACATAATAGGGGAAATTCAGGCACTGTGTAGGAGGCCAGTGGGGGAGAAATTTTGGGGTCACAGAGAGGGAGTGCTTTCTGTGACCTGTGGGCCATTGTACTGTACTTCTTGCTTTCCCTACACATATGGCCAGCTTTTCTAGACTCCTGACTTCATCCTGCTTTATTTTAACAGGGGCTGGAGGACAAAAAAATCAGAAATCCGAGCAGATGCTGAAGCTCGAGCCCGAGCTGTGATAAGGGAAGATTACCAAAATCTGGGCCCAATCAAGTAAGGGTCTAGGTGGGCTGTGGCATGGGGGAAGGGGGAGGTGACAAGAGATGAAGAAAGGGGTAGTACATTCCTAGGAAGAAAACATCAGCCTTACTCTAGGCGTAGCATAATGTCTGGTACATAGTAGGCCCTTAATAAACGTTTATTGATTTCAGGCCTGGTTTTGCCTTTGCTGGAATATATCCCAGAGTCTCAGGGTGGCTGGAATTACTGCAGACTTCCTTATGTTCCTCCTTTCCTTTGATCCTATCTGAAGATACACCCCCTCCTTATCCTGTGGACTCCTCTTATGGTGTCCAAATTAGGCTAACCTGGGTAGGATTCTACATCTTGTGCTTAAGTGAATAGAGACTCTCAGCATGCCAGACTAGGTGACTAGAAGGTGGGAATTCTAATGATTGGGGGGGGCCCTCTGTGATGTCATTAAGACCTCATATCCCTTTTAGTTCAGATATTCTATGTTATAAAGATCCCTTCTAACCTACTCTTCAGCTATCTTCCCTGGCCCCATACCTAGGCACCAGCCACCAGCAAAATGTCCTATCATCCTCTGGGGCTGCCTCCAGGACACCAGCAAATGTTTGTCAAGTCCCCTATCATTTTTCTCATAACTACCCCCATTGCCCTATGTGTGCACACGTGTGTACACAAACACACACACACATCAGAAGCCCTCTGAGAACCAACAAAGAAGGAGCACTAGATTAAAGTCAGAAGAGGGCTCCTAGTCATGACTCCCCCACTAGCTCTGTAATGATGGACAAGTGACTTTACCTCTCTGAATCTCAGTTTTCCCATCTGTAAAATGGGGATAACGATACGCTCACTCCCTACCTCACTGGAGTGATGAGGCAAAGATTACAAACCTTTTGTGATTTATAAAGTACCCTGGAAATTAGAAGCTGTTATTATCATTAGACAAGATGAGTTCCTTTCCTGGGGATGGACAATGTGATTTGGGCAGAATCGGTGGGTATGTTTTAAGAAGTATTGGGGTGATGAGAAAAGAAAGCTAGCGGGATTGGATGCATCACAGTCCTCAGGTTATTCCTATTAGATACTCCAGAGGCCATGGGAGAAGGCAGCTTCCAGCCCCTCCCCGAACTGGGCCTAGGCCGGGAGTCTGTCAGTTTCATTGCTGTCTTTTCTATGATCCACAGGTTTGCAGAACAAGCAGTCTTCTTCTTCTTCTGTTTGTTTGCCATTCTGCTTTTCACCAGGGACCCAAAGTTCATCCCTGGCTGGGCCAGTCTGTTTTCCCCTGGGTGAGATGCATGCATTGGTGCCTCTTGGGACAGGGCTTGGGATGATTCTGGGGGCCTGGGCTGAGGCTACCAGGGGAAGGGGGACCCTGCTTGTGGAGCTTCTTGGCTGTGAAAGGGTCTGTCCGTTCAAGGGGAGGTCACTCAAAAAGCTGGCCTCACTTTGAGGATATCCTGGTATCATGGAGAGAGACCTAGACTAGAAGTCAGAACATGAAGATTCTAGTCATTAACTTACTTGTTGCCTTGGGCAAATGACTTTCCTCTCTGTTTGTCAGTGGGGTCAAGTATACTAAATGATGTTGAAGTTCCCTTCCCTGGATCTGGTGTCAGGAAAACCCCAATTCAAAACTAGTCTTAAACACTCGCTGGTTGTGTGACCCTGGGAAAATACTTAACCTTTGTTTGCCTCAGTTTCCTCAACTGCAAAAAAAAAAATAACAGCACCTAGGGTCAAATGAGATAATATTTGGTAAAGTCCGTTGCAAACCTTAAAGCACTATATAAAGGCTAGCTGTCATTATTATTGGAGCAGCTAGGTGGCACATTATTATTGGAGCATGAGGCCTGGCATCAGGAAAGACTCATCTTCCCAAGTTCAAATCTGACCTCAGATACTTACTAGCTGTGTGACCGTGAGCAAGTCACTTAACCTTGTTTGCCTCAGTTTCCTTAACTGTAAAATGAGCTGGAGAAGGAAATGACAAACCACTCCAGTATCTTTGCCAAGAAAACAACAAATGGGGTCACAGAGAGTCAGATAAGACTCAAAACAACTTAACAATATCATCATCATTATTATTTCTCTACTTACATGGTATGCTCTATATCCTAAGGCTTTTTCTAGTTCTAACTTTCTATGCTCTGTGTTCTAACAGTACTTCCAACTCTTACATGTTAAGCCCCATCCATAACACTCTGTGATTCTGTAGTGCCTCAAGGCTTGAGGTTGTAGGGTTCCTATAGAATCCTTAGAAACTAAGAAGGATGCTGACTAGGTACTCATTTGCATGTAATTAAGAAGAATGCTTTCATTCCCAAGTGGAAGAGATTGGCCTAGTGAAGTCCATCTGAAGGTTTAGAATGTCATCTTCTCTCCTGGGGAATTCAGACATGTTCAACCCAAAGCCTTCTCTGAACTGGGCTCTTGAATATTCAACCCTCTGACCCTGACTGTAATACGGCGGGCAGACCTATCAATCGGGTCCAGGGAAGACTCTACCTCGTCAACCATCTTTGGTTTTCTACCTGGGAAATAGAAAAATAAATTTGGGGTAAATGTTATCCCTCAATTCCTCCATGCTTGTTTTAGTCCCCAAGTGTTGGGGGACACACCTGGCAACTGTTGCCTGTGTATCAGTCTATTATTCTCTCTCAGGAATCTTTATACAAAGGTGGACCTTGATCAGAGCCAAAAAGCCATAGTGTAGTATAATTCAAGGGACCTGGAAAGACATCCCTGGACAAAATATCACTTGCCATGTCTAGCTTATCTTGGGACCCGAAATTCCCAAATGTCAGTATATGGTAGGAGCCGTATTAGTGTAGGGGGAGAAATTGAGTGAGGAGGACCTGGATTTGAGGCTTGGGTCCAACGCTAGCTGTGTGACCCTGTATAAATCCTCTCTATGAGATTTATCTCAGTTTCCTTATCTGTAAAATGGGGATAATATTTTCACACTACCTACCTGTAAAACTTAAAACACTCTATAAATATGAGTTCTGATTGTTATTTTTATTATAATTGTAATTAAATTGTGTCGTGATTATATCACCAAGATGTTATCCAGAGAGACTAGCACATTAGGTCCTTATGAGTACTTATTTTCGAATCAGCAGAGAGATTTATCCCTCTGTTCCCCTGCAGAGGGATAGTCTAGAGGAAGGACATGGAAGAGGCCCTGACCCTTTTCAGGCTTCTTTGTCAAAGGCTGACCTTTTATGTCATTGTTTGGGTGGAGGGGGTGGATTTGGCTTAGATTATTATAATTCTTTGTTAACAGCTCTCATGAAATAGGGTGTTAGGATTCATCTAGTCCAACTCCCTCATTTTACAGATGAAGAAACTGAGGCCCAGAGAGTTATTTGACTTCATTGGAGATTTTGAGTTGGGAGGGATCTCAGAGACCATCTAGTCCAGGGATGGGGAACCTGCAGCCTAGAGGCCACTTGAGGCCTTCTAGGTCCTTGGGTGTGGCCTTTTGACTGAGTCTAAGTTTTGCAGAACAAATCCTTTTATTAAGGGAGTTTGCTCTATGAAGTTTGGATTCAGTCAAAGGGCTGCACTTGAGGACCCTCTCAAAGGGCCACATGTGGTGGTGAGGCTCAGGTTCCGCACCCCTGATTTAGTCCAAACCTTTCATTTTACAGATGAGGAAACTGAGGCCCAGAGAGGTTATCTGACTCACCCAAAGTCACACGGCTAGTAAGTAGCAGATTTGAACCCAGGCCTTATGACTCTAAATTCAGTGCTTTTTTCTCAGTGCTATGATATCTCTCAAGTGAAGGATCAAAATTCATCTTCTGATCTGATTTCTCTTAACCTCATATTCCCCATCCAAGAAACTTGTAAAAATATTTGCATGATATCCCAAAGTAGACTGAGACCTATCCCAATTCTGCATTGCCATTTGAAAGAGCACAGTTCAGAATATTACAGGATAAAACTGCATTAAAATAAGGAGGAAAATGAGATCCTCGAAGGAGCAACCATTAATTTCAAAGATATACAAACCTCCAGAATCATTACAGGCCTGAATAGAAGGAGCCTTCTGGGAGATGCAATGTTTGAGGGAGGGGAGAAGTGTGCTCCTCACTCCCTCTGCCTCCGAGCTTTCTTGCCAGGTCTTGGTACAGTACTTTTCATATCATAATAACTTAAGTGCTTTTTTCCACACCCTCTCTCCAATTTCTCACTCAAGATGAAAACTATTCTCTAAATTTCTCCGCTCTCTTGCTGATCTCTACTCAGAGGCACAAGAGACAAGATTTTAACTTGAAAGATCTTTAGGGATTATCCCATCTAATGTCTTCACTTAACAGATGAAGAAACTGAAGTCCAGAGGTTACATGATTTAACCAAGGTCACATAGCTACTCATATAGTGGGATTTAAACTCAGGTCCCAGACTCCAAACCTAGTTCTTCCCCCCCCCCACCACACACACACACACACACACACACACACACACACACACACA